TCCTTAAAGTGTGAGCACAAACTGCTATGCTAACCACAGAGTGTGGAATAGTGTGGGATTGGAATAGCACCTAGTTCAAACACTGTTTCCCCTTTCCCTCCCTGTGTGGCTTTGAGTTGAGAGACTTAGGTTGGATCATGTATGTGAGAGGACATGTCTTGTGGTGAAGGTGCAGATAGTAAATGTAGAACCCAGAGCTAAGGAGAAGCTCCAGTTCATGTGGGGCAGGACTTATGGGAAGGGTGTTTTCAATTCATGTTTTTCCTGTGGTGCTGTTGGTGCTTGTTAATGCAGACCATGTTGGAAAGGCAAACCTAATTATGGTTGTCCCCCTTCTGTCTTCATAGCTCATTTTGGAGACTTTGATTCTTCCATACATCATCCCGGGTATCTTTCTGATAGTCAGTTTATACCAGACCAGAACGATGACTTCTTAGCGAAGGTGGAATCTCTCCATGAGCAGCACAGGTAAGGAGAGGGACCTGGCGTGGCCTACTTTGGGAACTTAGGCTGGGTATTTATAGGCATTGTGTCATCTTGGCTTTGATGTACCTCCTCTTTCTTCCTTTTTTCTCAGTAGTCCTCTTTCAAGATGCTGGGTTTTTGAAGCTTTGACCTGTCCTTGTGGCAGATATAACTGGCCTACCTAGCATTTCTATGGAGTGTAAAGTGTGGTAGGAATTTAGGGTGATGGTTGCTACATTCCATTTCAGGCTGTCATTGAAATCAGTAAATTCCTAAAGGACATGCCCATTTTGAAATCCCATGGCAGCAAACATTGGTCCTACTACGTAAACCGTTTAGCAGGTTGCCATATTTAATAAAACAGGCTGTCCCTTCAGGTATTGTTGAAAAGACAAACAGACAAAACCAAAAAACCCATTGCCATTTGAGTCAGTTCTGACTCTAGGCAACCCCATGTGTTACAGAGTAAAAGTGCTCCATAGAAAGACATAAAATGCTGACAGGCAGGGGTGAGCTCCAAACCCTCCCTGAGTACGAGCAAACGGCCTTCACTCCAGTTAGGTGTCAGTCTTCAGCA